TTCGAACTGTAAAAGGGCACAGTTAGATGGGATATTGGGAAGGAATTCTTGGCTATGAGGGTGGAGAGGCCCTGGCACAGGTTGCCCAGAGAAGCTGTGGCTGCCCCTGGATCCCTGGAAGTGTCCAAGGCCAGGTTGGACAGGGCTTGGAGCAACCTGGTGCAAGGTGTCCCTGCCCATGGCAGGGGAGTTGAATTAGATTATCTTTAAGGTCCCTTCCAAACCAAACCCTTCAATTTTCCCTATGATTTTCCAAGTCATTTACACTGATGACAATGTTGGGCTCATCTCTAACCAGGCTACAATAGCCCAGTCCCTTGAAGGATGTGTTCTATTGCAAATATGCTTAATACGTCAATAGGAAAAAAACATATGCTGCAAATTTTGCTGTAATAATTATTGGAAATGCTTGAGCCTTGCTGGAATTTGGCAATAGCTCCACTAAATATAGGACTCCAGGCACACTTAATTTAAGAGGAGATTTATCATTGGTCTTATTGACCCAAAATTCTTCTTATTTAACATTTATAAGCATTTTTACTGCACAAATTTCTCTGTAGCACAACTGATAAAATTTATACCAGTTAGTTTCACCAATATTGTCAAAACATTTTCCAACAACTTCTGGAACAGAGCAGCCAGGAGATAACTAAACCACCTGAAGTCGGGCATATGAAACACCATAACATTTTATGGTTTTGCCCTAAAGAAAATGAAGCCAATCTCTGCTAATATCCCTTTCATTTACACACTTTGCTACGAGATTTCCCTAAAGGCATTAGTGGCTGGCAAACAACTCCCAGCACCTTGATTGCAGGAAATCATATTTCTCCCGATCCCAAGCTTCTTCATAAGTATTGAAAATGCTTTGACTACTAAAATACATTTTTCTGAACTTACCAGTAATTCTACACTTCGAACCACCCAATTTCCTTCCTCTCCCAGCACAGGAACCACTTGTATTCCTGCTCAATATATCCCAACTCTGAGTTTACTCTTTGTGTTTTTTTAATAGAGATGAGTTCAGATTTAGAAGTGGAATCAAACAAGCTTGGAGAATGTTTTGGGAGAAGAGAGAGTGAAAAAGTTTTGTTAGCGAGGGTGACAAACTATTTCAAAGATGATGACCATTTAAAATGTACAGATTTTTATCTGAATGCCCTTGAATTTAAAGAACTGTGGACATTTAAAGTCTTCCAACTACTCAGACCCAGAATTAAGGATGAAAATCACAGAAAATCACAAATCTTCAGAATAACCCTTAGACCTCTTTTCTTACACACAAATCACATCCCACATCACCAAATTTAACTTTCCCTCTTACACCCATCATGCTCCACTTCCCAGTGACTCAGGTGCTTCCCAGCATTCCGCATCAATTCAAACACAGGGACAGACTCTCAAAATGTGCTGCAAAAGAAGGTTTGGTATAAGAGGTTACTTCTTATTATTAAAAACCTATTAAGAAACCAGATTCGGAGTGTTTTCACATACACACACTCTCCTTCAGGGACAATTAAAGAACAAAACATGCTCAGATCAAACAGCCAGCTCTGTATGGACATGAATATTTCCAGATTGAAATTTGCAGGACACATCCCTGCTGTGGAGAAAACACCACAGTCTTGGCAAACAAAATCACAGTTTCTGGTTTCATTCAGTCTTTTTTTTTTTTTCCTGGTGCTTCTAAATGTGAAAGGCAAGACTTATTTACTCGTTGCACTGAAATCACACCAGGTTACATTCCTGCGGTTCTTCGCAGCTGAGGAGGGGTCAGAGGAGCAGAGGAAGTGAGCGAGGCCAGATTCTGACTCAGTAAAGCACAGACACACAAATATATTATGCCTGTGCTCCAATCTGACAATTTTCTCTGGGGGGAAATTAAAGATCTACAAGTGAGGTCCAAATCAGAGTGATTTTCAATCCCACGTCGTCCCTGAGACTCCATCTGTTCCTCTCCCGGCTCCAGCGAGGGGGCAGTTACAGCTCCAGTGCCCAAGTCTCTCCTCCACAGCAGATGTTGCAGAAAGTAGATGCTTCCAGAGGTTAGTCCTTAACAAGGAACTTAATCCAGCCTGAAATATTTGTGAATTCACATCTCAAGGTATTTAATAAAATCCTCCTTTTTTAGTTTTTCATCCCACCCCATCACAGCCTTTGACCTTGAAGTTCATGGATTGGTTTTGGCCTTGGTTTACTTGGAAGCAAATTCATGTGCTGCCACTGGAAGAAAACTACAGATGTTCCAGTCCTGGGAAAATACCATTCTGTACCTGAAAATGCCACATTAAATGAGCAAGTAATAACAAATAAAGAACTGAAAGGAAATGCAATGTCTTATAAGTAACAGACTTAAATAAAATAAAGACTGAGAGAAAAGGCCTGGAATGAAAAACAAAGACATGGGACATGAGTTGAAAAACATTTTAGAAATTCTGTACCTTCTGACAGGATCAGTGTTATGAAAATTCCCCTAAAAGTTTTAGTATTAGTGAATTAGACTGAATGTGTCATAACTGAATGCTGGAAACTCCTGGGGAGAAAATTACCATTTAGGGGCCCTCAGAGCTAATTTAATAAAGAAGTCTGATGAGGTAGATAAAGTATAATAGTAGGAAGAGACCTAAATAAATGTAAAAGGAGATATATATATATATATAGAGAGAGAGAGAGAGAGAAAGAGAGAGATATGTTCTGTTGACACTGATGTCATTGACCAGTGACACATCTAATAAGGGATGTTGCTGTTGTTAAAGGACATATTAGGTAGAAATTCAGAAGTTCAATGGCTGAAAGGATGCTTAAATAATTAAGATCCAAATCTGGCCAGTAGAAGGGTTAGAAATTTGAATAAAATGTTCATAATTCTGAGGGCAGAGTGGAAATTGATCAAAAGTATTTTTTAACCTCATTTATAAACAGAAATATATGACACTCAATCAAGTTCCAATGCAGTAAAGTTTGAAACTGCGCAGAGAAACATTCCTTTATAGTGCAAACACACAACTTGTGGATCCACCACCAAAGCCCAAGATGGTAGGATTTAAGAAAGTCTGGATATTTTACATTCCCATTCAAGCCTGTTATAATGCAAACTAAAATCATATTAAAGATAATCAATTTTCATGCTCCAGGCAATAAGGAGATCACCTTGGGAGAGGAGGCAGAAAAGATTAATATGTATTTTGGGGAAGTTTCCACTTATAATAAAGTTTCAGGAACAGGCTACTTTTGAGTCAAGGATATCAGGACAGAGGGAAGACTCCAGCCAGTTCTATAGCGAGTTCTATAGCGTGTATAATAATAACTATTTCTAGAGTATCCCATCCATTCCAGAGCTTACTGACCTTTTATTTAGAGATGAGATCACCCTCACATAAGCCATAGCCTTTGTATGGGCATGCAGGGGCAGCACCTTTTAATTGATCATTAATCTGAGCTTCGTTAGAACTAGTGAAAAATTTCATTTTCTCATCAGCAAATGGCATCACAATAGTTTCAATCATCTGTTCACTGACAGCTACTGAAAAGCCAAGTCAGAGATGAATTCTGAAAGCACAAAAGAAACCATGAACCAAAAGCCTGTAACTGGTTGTGACTTATTTCAAACATTCAACACCTTTTCATAGATTTTTCCTGTATTATTTTTTGTTTGCTGCTTTAAATGGAATTCTGTCCATAAAATGCTCATATAGTGGGATCTGAGTTTATCATTGTTAACTCATTTACATTAATTGTGATCCAGAGATCACACAGATTCACAGATCATTTCTACTGTGTTCAGTACTGGTGTGTTTGCAGGTTGCAATTACCAGGGTAGTGTGCAGGGTCTGTGGACATTTTTATTATCTGACAACAATTTCAAGTGACTTTTGGCCCACGTTTTGCCTGGGCAGACAGTAAAGAAAGTAAGACAGGGTGGTAAACATTCCTTGCTTACACTTCCTTGGGAGACTCAAGGTTAACGGGCCTGAAAGCAAAAGGGAAAACTTGGTGTCATGTTAAAAATATTACTTCTAAAATCAGCAATTATCTCAGTACTGTTACACACCAATGCCAATAGTTGCTCTAGTGTAACTATTTTCAACTGTATTAGGGAAACTTTTGCATGTTGGACAATAGTTGTTGGGGTTTTTTTGAATCACATTTAACACACAGACACTAAAAGCTGTTTATTTTACACTTACTTTACATACATATTTTTTGCATGAAAAAAAGGATTTCCAGAATTCTGCAATGAATTTTAAAAATTGTTTTGATCTTTCCCAAGTGGATTCCTGCATTCTGTGTTAGTGTCTGAGTCATACAGCACAACTAATAAAATTTTTGCTGATGTAACTTAGATTAAGATTTAGACAGTGAAAGACTATCTGGCTTGAAAAACTTTGCTGGTATTTTTTCTTCAGTGGTTTGTTTTTTTTTTTAACGACCTCAAATAAACTTCACCCTACAGTTTACTTCTGTCTGACATTTCACTCCCTCTTATCTCACTCTTGTCTCCTCTTCTAGGAATTGTATTTGCAAAACATTTCATCCTCTGAAAACCTTGGTTTAATTCCCTGTCCCCACCTTTACCCACGATTGCAAATTACAAAATTCCAGACTGGTTTGGGTTGGAAGGGACCTTAAAGCTCATCCAGTTCCACCCCCTGCCATGGGCAGGGACACCTTCCACTATCGCAGGTTGCTCCAAGCCCCGTCCAATCTGGCCTTGGACATTTCCAGGGATGGGATGGTCACAGCTTCTCTGGGCAACCTGTGCCAGGGCCTCCCCACTCTCACAGGGAAGGATTTCTTCTCCATATCCCATCTAACCCTGCCCTCTGTTAGTTTTAAGCCATTCCCCCTTGTCCTGTCATTTCATGCCCTTGTCCAAAGTCCCTCTCCAGCTCTCCTGGAGCCCATTTAGTCACTGGAAGGGGCTCGAAGGTCTCCCGGAGCCTTCTCCTCCCCAGGCTGGACACCCCGGCTGGTCAGTGCGCTCAGATCGCTGCTCTGTGATGGATATTTACAGCAATCCGTGTTTCCGACACGGCTGTGTCCGGGCACAGCCGCGCTGCCCCGGGTGTGCCCACGGCAGGGACGCGCTCCCGGCGCAGCCGGGCCCATCACCGGGGGATGTGTCCCTCCTGCCCGGCCATATAGGCAGGGAGCGAACACACAGGTGTCACCGAACCCGACCCGGAGCTCGCTGGAACCCTCCGGCTCTGCCTCTTCCGGGCGGCCCCGGCTCCGCCCCGGCAGCGCGGCCTTGCCCGGACCGGCCCCGCCACCGCCGCTCGGCTCCTCCGCCCCAGGCAGGTGCGCGGGGCCGGGACACCCAGGGACACCCAGGGACATCCAGGGGCCGGCTGGAGGGTGGGATGGGAGGGGTGAGCGCTCCCAGCTTCGCCCTGCGCTGAGGTTTCGGTTTGCACCGCAGCGAACGAGGGATGGGGATGGGGACGGGGATGGGGATGCTCCGCCCCCCCGGGTACCGCCGTCCCGTGACCCTGCGAACGGGACCCCCCGAACCCCAGGTTCGCTTGGTCAGAGCGCCGCACCGCAGAGTTGGACTCGGTGATCCTCGTGGGTCCTTTCCAACTCGGAGTATTCCGGGGCTGGGTTTGGGGCTGCTGGGGGACCCCGGGCACCTAAAAGTGCGTTGGTTTCCACGTGGATGTAGACGGAGCGGTGCTAAGGTAGTTGGCTTGGATGGATGGATGGATGGCAGCAACCTGTGGTCAGAGCAGATCAGCATGAAATTGCACCAAAATAATTCTCAAAAGATTGCCCAGATTATCCCTGACTGGGGATATTCCAGAACTTTCTGGATGCAATCCTATGCCATGTATTTGCTGTGGGTTGAGTAGTCCTGGGGTGGATGGATGGCAGTGCTCTGCTTTCTGTAGTCAGAGCAGATTAGCATGGAACTGCACCAAAATAATTCCTAAATGGTTGCCCAGAGAGGTTGTGAAGTCTCCCTCAGTGGAAATATTCAGAACCAGCTGGATGCAATCCTGTGCCATGTGCTTTGGAATGAGTCTGCTTGAGCAGGGAAGTTGGACCCCTTTCCAGCTTGACCTGACCTGTTACTCTGTCATACCTATCAAATTGATATTAATGTAAAAGTATCCTTTTGCCACTAGTGTAAAAGCCAAGCTCTGTGGCTTTTTAAAAATAATTACAATGTTGTAACTTAATGCAGTTTTTGAAGCGCAGTAAGTGTAAAGAATTATTTATTGTTTTGCCCTCCCAAATAAACCTGTTACTGAGTTTTGTCTTATTTTTGCAGATGGAGCTCTTGTTAAACAGTGAGATGCGGTCTCTCTGCAGTGTTTCACATTGAAATCTCCATTTTACGAACTGGGGCATAACATTTATACTGTGACAGTCATTTCTCGACTAACTCTTGTGTCCAGGCTTGTGCTCCCCCCTCACAGAAGACACAAAATACCTTGTTTTAAACCCAAGTTGTTTCTTCAGGTCTTAATTTTGCGCTGGGGCTTTTGCCCTCTCCCCCCTTCTCTCTGGCTTCATTAATCTTTAAGTTCTTTGGTGTTGGACTGCTGTGATGTTTGTAAAGCTTACTCCTTCTGGGGCAAAAGCCGTCCCTGGAATGCAGGATGCTTCTAAAAACCATCCAGTTATGTGAAATTTGTCAGGTTGTTTTCTTGTGGGTGTTGTCATTCTGTGACATAATTTTTTCTAGTAAAAGTTTTGTTTGCTTTGTTTTCAAACAGAAATGTTCCAGATGTGGACACTTCTACCAAAAGCTTCAAGTTTCAGAGGGAAAAAGATGTGGCTATGTGAGCTTGGAAGGTGGCTTTAGCAGTTCCTATCTGCATTCTGATCCATGACAAGTTAATTGCGCCAATTACACCAGCAACTGAACAGAAGCTCTATAGGAAACTGTTGTAGTTATAGTGCAACTTGTGTTACCGTGACTACTTTATCTCTTGATAAGTCTGTAATTATCTTGTCACCACTGTTTAGTGCTTAACTTATGTAGAGAATCAGCTCATGGCATCACTGAAGGGATTGTAACCTGGAGGAGAAGCTCCCGCCCTCTGGAATATTGGGGTGGCCCTGAATGGTTGATTTAAGGACTTGTGCAGGAAAAACAAAGTTTGTTATGGAAAGTGTGGGAAAGGCTGCACTTGAGAAATACTGGTTAAACTGACTTTGGTGACAGGGGAAACAGCTGGAAGGAGCAGTAATGCAAAAGAATTCAAAGGAGAACATGTCAAAGACATGGATGCTGGTTTTGTAGTGGTTTTTTCCTATACAACTAGGGGTTTGGAGGAATGAGAACACCTGATGCTTAGGAATTAAACCTCAATGAGCTGCCTGCTCTAGCAGTGCATAATTTCCTTGTGAGCCTTGTCCTCCACTTCTGGTGATGTCCTCATTTGTGGTGGTTTCAGGAGGGGTGGTTTTTCAGGTGTTGGTGCTGTAAGAGACTGGGAACAAACTGTAGATCCCAATGTGTTGGGATGTTTAACACTGAGCTGTTCTGCCTGGGCTGCAGCTCCACGTAAATTACACTTATTTCCTGAGAGAAAAAGCCTTCCTGCTTGTGGTAGTTGTTAACATCTTCATTTTATATTTCACGGAGCAGTATCGTGTAATCACAGAATTTTTTGGGCTGGAAGTAAACTTAAAGCTCATCTTGTTCCACCCCCTGCCATGGGCAGGGACACCTTCCACTAGACCAGGTTTCTCCAAGCCCCGTCCAACCTGGCCTTGGACACTTCCAGGGATGGGGCATCCTCTGGGAAATTCATACCAGTGCCTTACCACCCTCCCAGGGAACATTTTCTTCCTGATATCATGATGGGACAGATGGTTCAGCCTTTAGAGCAGGGGGTCTGTTCCCATGTCACATTCTGAATGTGTGATACTTCCAAACCCACCCTGAAGGCACTAATATTTGGTTTAATGCTTTAAAGGCTTCCTGCATTAGAATGATCCCTGCTTGTAGAGCTGGTGCAGTCAGCAAGTGCCTAACACTGTAATGCTCATTCCCAGAAGTTGTTGAGGAAGCTGGATACACATCCCACCCGTGGCATAACTCGGGGAAGGCAGCACTTGTTAACTCTATTTGTTTTTATTATGGACATCGATCTGCCAGTCGCAATAATGCATTTATGGACATTTTTCTGCAAGCACAGCGCTGGTGGCAGTTTTTACTGACAACTTGAGTCATATGGACAGTAGTTGCAAACACGTTTATTTTATTGACGGATTGTGCAATTCTCTAGTTTACCCCATGTTCATATCTGGACTGGTGAGGAGAATGGAACTAATGGAAAAATGGAGAGTAAAGTTTTAATTTTGGGAGGCTTGAAATCTTTAGGTAGTGACAGGTTTTAGCATGTGTTTTGGGGGGGTTTGTGAGCCTGACTTCATTAATGCTGTAATTAAAAAGCAAAAAGTTCGGGGTCCTTACAGCAGACACCCAGGCCTTGCATTTCTTACCTCTGTTGATGGCTGGGAATGTTGATTCCTACAAAACTGTATTGGCTTTAGTTGTGCTAATTTACCTGAGGGTATAATGAGTAAAACCTTCCTGATACAAGAAAAACTCCTCTGTTAAATTTTGTCACCTATGTTTCTGATGTTGTCACCCAGCACAGGTGTGTTTGGGCCAGCATGAAGTTAAAACATGCAACTGGAGGTACAAGCAAACTGTAAACCCAAACCTCTATGCAAGTATTTTTCATGAATACAAAATCCAGTTTTAAAACTGAGGATCTGCTTCTGTTGTCCAGGTAACTGTTTAAAAAAAAAATATTTGAATGTCAATAAAGCTCGTGTGACTTTGGAGTTTCATGGGAGTTATTATGGAAGTTTTTATTTGGTGATATGTCACCATATTGATGCTTTTTACTGAGCCTTTTTCAAGTTGTTTCCTTATTTACTGTTTTGTATCAGCAGAGCTAAAGCACCCTGTCCTGATGGTTGTCAGGACTATCTGGTGTCCATTTATATCGGGACAAATTAAATGATAGAAATAATTTCACAAGTATCTTTTCAAGTCACATGTGAAACTTGGACCTGTAGGTTCTGAAGGTGATTAAAAATACTTACACCTGAACAAGTCACCTTTAATCTCAAGGAGGAAGAGGGGAGATCACTGATACAAAGGTTCTGATTTCTCTGGTTTTGGAGTGAAATAATAGTTATATATCTCTACTGACAGAAGGCCTGCAGTCTTGAGCAGCTTTGCAAAGGGGAATAAAGAATAATTTTGGCTTTTGGTCTTACCTGATGGGTGCATCTTCAGCTTTTAATTTTTATTCAAATGCCATTTTTTAGTGCATTATGGACAGATTAATGAAATCAGTATTTTAATGTATATATGTTAACACAGCTCACAGAAGTCAGAGTTGCTTTGTTGTCTGAATCATGACATGCTCCACGAGGAGATTTAACTCCCTCCAGGTAACCCTGCATTAGCAGATAGCAAGTATTAGTGCTGTCTTGTAAATGTTGTTGCTGCATAATCATCATCAGTAATATTGAAATTATCTGAGTGCTTTAGATCAGTCAGCACAGTGCAAACAACAGCGTTATCTTGGCTTGTTTGTACACTCAAGTGTGCAGAAGGGCTGTTAATTAGTTAAACTTTTTAATAAACACCTAAAGTAGACTTAAGGCCCTGTTAAAAGATTAATTTTTCTGTTTCACACAGAAAAACCAGCAGATGAATGTACAGTATCTGACAGTACACAGGGAGCACAAACCTGCTTTGGCACCAGTGGGCTGGTGATGGTGACAGGACACTTTAGTCTGTCACCATTGTCCTGGAGAAAATTCACACAATATCATCTTCCCTGATTTCAGTATAATCAGATGGGATGTAGTAGGAAGGGTGGGGGGGAAAAAGGGAAATCCCTTGCACAGTCTCCTATTGACACCAGAAATACTTTTGATTGTTTGCTGACTTCATGAAATACTAAGATTTTTGGTTGAGTGAGAAATGAGATTGACTTTATTCAAACTGTCTACAGTTGTGGGTTTTTTTTGTTTGTTTGTTTGTTTTTTTGTTTGGTTTTTTTTGTTTGTTTTTTTTGGTTTTTTTTTCTGGAATATAAAGGAATTAGTTTGTTTTGAATCCTGCTTAGTGGGCCTGAGTCAGTGTCTGCTTTTAGCTTTGAGGCTTAGGCAGTGGGATGGAACTAAAATCTGGGTCTGTGGCCAGGGTTGTGCTTTAAGACAGTGAAATTAGGGCCAACAAGGCAAAGTGCTTCATCTGAAAAAAAACTTTTTAAAGAAATCATAGTATTCCAGGCTGGTTTGGGTGGGAAGGGACCTTAAAGCTCATAATCTCCTTCCACCCCCTGCCATGAGCAGAGACACCTTCTGCTATCCCAGGTTGTTCCAAGTCCTATCCAACCTGGCCTGGAACACTTCCAGGAATGGGGCAGCCACAGCTTTTCTGGGCAACCTGTGCCAGGGCTTCACCACCCTCACAGGGAAGTAAAAAATACTTGTTATTGTTTTTTTCAAAGACAGCAATAGTAATACTTTCTTTTCACTGATTGCCTGAGTTGCATGTTGGTGACTGCACCTTTTTTTATATTATTGTTAATGCACCTGGCCTGGATTTAAATGCTTTTCAGCTGCCTTTTTGTGCTGCTATGTTTGATTCCATAGTGAGAGTTTCTAAGAATTTGATTAACCCTGTGGGTCATCTTATAATGTAATTATTAATGATTGATTCTGTTTATCCTTGAGATCAATATGAGAAGCAAAAATGGTTTGGCATATATTTGGGGTTGATTTCTAACACTCAGTAAACATGATCTAGTGACAAGACTAGTATTGGTTTATTACTCGGAACATGTTTGATGAATCTGAAGTGTGTAATTAGTTTTATATAATGATGGTGATATGTGGGGTTTTTTACATGACTTATGTTAATATGGCCAATAGTGTTAACATCTCCTGCCACTAATAGTTAGGGTGGGGATGTATAGTAATTGATCTTCCTGGGAGTGCTGTAATGTAAAAACAATTCCGGCTGTTTGAAGTATATTTTACAAGTGTGCATTGGGCCTTTGGGATGTTACACTGAAAAACCCAATTGTACAGTTACCATGGGAACCCAATTAGAATAGATTGCTGGAGTTTCTTTCTTTTTTTTTTTTTCAGGCTTTCATCTTGACCAAAAATCTAATGTACTTTAAATGTTTTCATATGGAATTTTATTCATATAGTGACTTGTGTAATAGCTGAGTTTAAATTTTAGTGCTGAACCAGAGTGTTCTGTGCATCCCGAGGACTTGTCTTTCAAGGAGAATCTTCCTTTAGTGTTTAAAAGTTGATGAACTGAGAAAAATATTTCTTATTAATCTAAGTTCTTACTGCCATCACGTATACTTCTCAGGCTGCAGTCCTGTGGGGGGAAAAAACCAGGGAAGTATCTCAAAACCTAAGGACTTCTGTTCTTGATCATCAACAAAACATAGCTGGAAAATTTCGTGGCCTTTATGGATCTGTTTTCATTCTAACCCCTGACTTTTCTTTACATTTTGGTCTGTTGACATATCTAAAGGTTTGGAATGCTCCCAGGGTGGGGCTGTGATGTCTTTTCTTCTGCACCATTTTCAGCACCTGAAGGCATTTGTCTATCTTGCAGGTGTCTCAGGAGCATCCTACTGCTGAGGGAGCCTGGGCTGCTCCTCAGCACAGCTCTTGGGTGGGAGCAGAAGTTGTGTGGAAATTGGGCACATCTTGATTAAAAGGGAGAACTGAGGTGATCCCACCACTCAAGACTGAGGCAGGAGCTCCACAGCAGATGGACTTCACCAATCCCAGCTGGGCAGCTCTGAGCTAGTGAGGATGGGGACAAGTTACTTCTGGGTTTTTTTCCTCACTTGTGATTGTTAATCTCTTCAGTTTATCCCACTCTCTGCAAATGCAGGAGGAAATTTTCCATTTTGGTGAAGGGATTTCTTTCATTAAGCTTTCCTTTTTTTAAGATGTGATCCTGGTGTCTCAGTTTGTAGAAGGTGATCTAGAATGAGATATCATTGACTTTGATCAGTGCGTGCTGTCAAGAAGAGATTTCGGCTTCTTGCCTTCAAAATCAACCTTAGGAGAAGCCTTCAGCTCAGTGTGAAGTTACAGTTCATATACTGACCTCTTCCAACAAGATAGTCTGTGCAAGGTTGATGTGCATTTTGGGGTGACGATTTGGACTTCCCAAGGGTCTTGTATGTTTTTCCCCTGTCTTCTAACCACCATGGTTTGGGCATCTCTGGCTTTGCCCAAGTTCTTGTCACCAGGGGAAAGCTGTGTTGGACTAGAGATGGTGGAGCTCAATCTGGGGCAGAAACAGATGATGAACACTAGTTGGTCTGGGAGTCTCCTCAGGCTTTACTCATGATTTCCGGACTGTGGCATTGAGGAAGCATCAAGGCTGTCCTTGTTTTGTTGGATGGGATGGAGGCCTGTTCCTGGCTCACTGTCCCATCATAATGTGTCATCCCTGCCATCCCACCAGCTTTCCTACTCCTTGGCCTCCTGGGGATGTGTGGAAAGGCAAAGAACAGATGCAAACTCCTGGGATTATCTATGTAATGTTGGCTTAACTCAGTGCACTTACACACTGCACTTCTCCTTGGTCTTTGGGCTGGGTTTGAAACAAACTTCTAAATAAAATCTTCTTTCTGAGGCAAAATTGAGCTTTACCTTTCAGGAAAATCTGAAAAAAACTGAGCCTTCCTGTGTACTTTGAAAGTCAAAGCTCTGAGCTGGTAATAGAAATAAATTGCTGTTTTATTTTTAGCTCTATCACAGGTATTTTAAGTAATACTATTAGATCGTTCATCTGCCTGACTTACATTTAAAAATGCAGTGAGTGCTCTTTGCAATGCCTGCCTTGCAAGGCATGATTGCTAGTATAGCTAAAATACTAATTATCAACCTTAATTTTAAACACTTATAATACAAAAGATGTAATGTTAAATGTTGCTCTTTGCTTGTAAGTAGTTGGGAAGTGTCACTGCCTTGGACTTCAAGGCTTGATGTGCTGGAGAGTCTTGGAGAGTCTCAGATGTTCATATAATTTCTTTTCCAAGAGATTTATCATTCCTGAAGCGGATACACTTTTCCTCTCCTGTGGAGTAGAGAGTTCCCTGACTTAAGTGGAGCAGTTCCCATTGAGCCTGGCTGTGAGTCAGGATTCTGGAGCTGGGCTTTGGCACATAACCTCCCTGATTTTTAAAAATACAGTATTTATACCACATCCTTCAAAGATAAAGTGATCTTGACTAAGTGTCATTGAGAAAAAAACTAGAGGGAGGGAGTTAAATGCCAAAGAAATAGTAGTTATCCTGTATTTCAAAGGGGAGAGGAGAGAGGAACCTGGAACCAAAAATATAATTTTTAATAATATTATTGTATTTTTGATTTTTAAATTATAGTATATAAACAATGATACTGTGGATGACTAGAATTATAATCATTGGAGTTAACATTTCTTGGGTACTTAGCGGTTTGCAATCTGTACTTTTAAACCCACAATATAATGAAATCACTTGCTTTCATGCCTTAAAATGTGATATTTCCTAAATTACAAAAGGCTGTTTACTTTACTAAGTCACTCAGAAGTGCAGGACTGCCTGTAAGAAATTATTAAATTAATATTTTTATTTTTTAAGGCATTCTTATTCCAAATATCAGAGTTGTGCAGTGCTTGTTATGGAAGCACCGTACCATCTGTTGATTTTTCTTTTTTTTTGTTTTGTGACCTCATCAACATTAAAATTCCTTCCTGTTTGTAAAAAATCAAACTCCCTTTGGAAATTACACATATATATTGAAACTTAGAGCTCATTTAAAAAATTGAGGTGGTTATAAGAGACATGATAATAATGGGTGTCGAATTCAAATGTGGAATTCAAATTAAATAATCTGAGAATTATTTTTTCCTTGCAGGTGGAGACTTTTTTTTTCTGCGATGGCGCCAAGGCTCATTCCAAGAGTAAGTTTCCAGTGAAATCCCTTTGCATTTGGGTGTCCACTGGAAGAGCAGCATTACAAAAGAGTTCACGTAACATAGTTTGTTTTGTCCCCAGTGCCCAGCAGTCAGGATTAAGAACCCAGCTGACAAGATTGATGCTGCATTGTAAATCTCTGTAGCTCTGTCATGGTTGGGAACAGGCATCAGTGGACCTTTCCCCATCACGTATCCATCTGCCACAGAGCATAAATAACAGGACAAAGCTACTTTTTCCATTTCCTAATAAACACCTCCCTGGAAAACGGGCTTAATTTTGAGGCTTGATGCTTCAATGAGGTGGGTGTAGGGCAGTAACTTCATAGCAAAATGAGAAAACATGGCTGTTTACCCAGATATTCGGGTCATTTACTTTACTGAAAGAAAGGCATCAACACATTTTTAGTCGATAACCCTCTCCCTGAAATGATTGAAATGAACTTTGAAGACATGAATACATTTTTTTTCTGTGAATTATCTATTTTTATAACATTAGTAGTGCTCCTTTAGGAAAACATTTCTTCTACAATCACACCTGCGTTTCTAACCATTCCTGTTGGCAACTTCCAACTCTGTTAAAATATCTTAATAGAGGTATCTCTGGTCATTTTCATCTGCCTTACATAATGTCATGTGGCTTATAAAAGGCATATTTTGGTGCATTCTGTGTTGTCTACCTCCTTTCCACAAAAGAAAATAGTTTTTATTTTTTAAAATGGAATGATTGAGGAAGAAATCTAGAAAAATAAATTCCTGATTCTTTTTTTTCTCTTGAACAATCATCTGTTCAGTTGCGTTTATATATCTTCCAGTTGCAAACACCTTTTAGCAGGTACCTGGACTAATAGAGAAATATTTGGGAGAAAGAATCCCTGGTTCCCTGTCATTCCAAGCAAGGTGTGATATAACTGGCAGGTAACATGAAACTAATAATTTATCTACCTTTTCCTTTCTCCCACCCTCACACGGAGTTGAAAGTTGCAGCTTTAGCTGTTGGGGGAGTTTTCCCCTTTTGATATGCGAGGAGACAGAAGGTTTAAGGTAAAACGTACAAACTCTGCCAGGACTCTGCAGACACTCCCTCCACTCTGGATGCATATTAATATATGTGTATTGATGATTTTGGTGATATTTTTACTGTGTGATTACAGTGTGACTTTGAGCCCAGCCCCACGTTGGTGAAGCACAGTGTGTGCCTGACACACGGGTTTTACAGAAATCAGTTATCACCCATGGAATGTGCTGAGCAGTTTTTCAGCAGGTTGCTGAACAATGGTTTGGGAAAACAGGCAGAATTCCCAGCAGATGTGGGCATTTTCCATAATCACTGTGTCTGTCTCCCACTCCATCCCTGGTTCTGTTGCAGTGACCAAAGATGTCTGTTGGGTTTGGGTGGAAGAGGCTGGAAGGCTGTCGGGCTCTGTGTGACCATACATAGGGATGTCTGCATATTTAGGAATTTTGGAGGGTTTTGGTGTTCTTATGACAATGTGGCAATTTTTCTAGTACATTAGAAGATTCTAAGTGTCATCTGTTCCTCTTGTATGTATTAAATTTAAACTTAGTGGGTAGATTCTTGTACTAACAGTGATTCTTTGCTCTCTGTTAATACTGAAACACTTGTCCTGAATGAAGCAGAGATAGATAACTATAGGAAAATTCAGATGTGTGTGTGGCAAGACTACAGTCTGATATTTTTATACAAGTCTTTTTGACACCTCTTGTGTGTATTTTTGTTGTATTTTTAGTGAATTCTTAATACACATTTTGCTGCTTCATTTGTTTAAATCTGCTCTACTCATTTCAAAAAATTCAGTGAAATTCTTACCTGGAACACAACTCAGATTCCTGACTCCCCTTCAGCTTAAGGAGCACTATTAATGGTTTTGTTCATATTGCTTAGATTTATTTTGTTATTATTCTCCAGCTCCTACTCTTCAGGTAGAGCTATTTTGGTATTATAAAGGATGATGGATTATATAGGAAAGTTTCTTTTGAAGCACTCCTGATATTGTGCAATGCACTTGGGGGTCAGCTACACTTGACTGATGCATGATTTATCCCATGTCCCTGCCACTTCCTGAGATAAAGCTGCTATTTTATCAAAAATGCCAGCAACTGTGATCTAGAATTTACACCCCTCCTTTTTCAAATAATTGTTCTGATTACTTTCTGGCATGGCAATAAAATGATAAAGGTAATTGCACACAAATGTGAGATAGCACCAAAATACAATAAAATTAACCTGAATTAGCTTGACTTGTCGATGAGAAGTATTTATGAAATGTATTTTTGCAATAAGGGAGACTGATATTATAGCTGGAAGGTGAGTTATTGCCTTAATGTAATACTGTTTGAAATTTAAAAAAGAGACTGTTACAGTTGAGGGTGATTGTGCCTTTGAAATTAAGTTGAAGTGATTCTTATAATTGGCAGCAATAATGCATTGGGAAGGTAATATCTTTTATTGTGTTATGCCTAGTTGCATTATCTTTTATTTAGCTGGTCCTGACTCCAGCTCTGAAGAGAAGATAAGCAGGAGCAGATCAGGAATTTTGTGGATTTAGGTGATAAAAAACTTGAAATGTTACCCAATATTAAAGTCATTCTTCTGCTAGGTTTTTTTTCATTTTAGCCCATTTTCAGTTCCCTTGAACCTGATAGGAGGCTCATTTGATTAAAATTTCATCTGTTTTTGTTGTATTAGAGTAGTTGCCACGTATTTACATCCACAGCTGAACCCTGTAAAGAGTCGTGTGCTCCACGACAAGCTGTGGATGTGCTTCACATCGGGCACTGATTTTGGCAGTTAGTTTTGTATTTCTCAGTGCCTCAAAGTGTTGCCTCTTAGTAAAAAGTGCATACGTGCTTTTACAGGGAGCGCCTCAATGGTTTTTAAGGAGTAAATCTTTAAATCCCAGAATCAATGGGGTTGGAAAAGCCCTCCCAGCCCACGGAGTCCACCCTGTGCCCGATCCCCACCTTGTCACCCAGCCCAGAACACTGAGTGCCACATCCAGTCCTTCCTGGGACACCGCCAGGGATGGAGACTCCCCCACCTCCCTGGGCAGCCCCTTCCAATGCCTGAACACCCTTTCCATGGAGAAGTTCCTCCTGATGTCCAACCTGAACCTCCCCTGGCACAGCTTGAGGCCATTTCCTCTCATCTTGTCCCTTGTTCCCTGGGGGCAAAGCCCGATCCCCATCTGGCTCCCCCCTCCTGTCAGGGAGTTGCAGAGAGTGAGAAGGTCCCCCTTGAGCCTCCTTTTCTCCAGGCTGAGCCCTCCCAGCTCCCTCAGCTGCTCCTGGTGCTCCAGACCCTTCCCCAGCTCCGTTCCCTTCCCTGGACAACCTTTCCTTTCCCCGCTCCCACTCTACACCTAGACCATTGAGGTGCTTCCTGTAAAAGCACGTATGCACTTTTTACAAAGAGGTAACACTTTCAGGCACTGGAAAATCCAGATGGCTGCTCCTGGACTTTTCCTTTGCGTGAGACTTCATAAAATCATAGATACCCTGAATAACTTGGTGTCCCCACCGCAATCACTAGTTTTTACAACTAATTAACACACTTTCTAATAGCATTTTGCTTCTGTGCTGTGTGTAAATAGAATCAGAGAATTGTTTGGGTTGGAAAGCACCTCGAAGATCATAAAATGTTAATTTTTGCTTCATGCTATTGATATAAAATGATAAAAATTTTCCACTGTATATGTGGTTTAGCTGCCACGTGCCTGTTGTGCTTGCATCACATTTAAACTTCCTGTGTAAGTAATAGCTGGGGAATGATGCAGGATGTGTTTACTTGTTTTTGGAGAAGTATTGGAGGAAATAATACATCAGAATTCCTGTTTAAACAGTCCACTGGGGTCTTGTGTTTGAGTGTCTGCTGACACCATCTCAAATCAAAGCTTGGCATGAGCAGTGAATGGAGTCAAAAAATGCACTTGTTGAATGCAGTCTGGAATGCAGACTGTAACCTGCCTGCCTCTTCCAAAGGAGGAGAAGTGGGTGTATTACAATTAAAATGCCCTTTAAGTGAAATAAAGCAGTCTGAGATAGCCCTGTAAGTACCCTGGGAATTTATCATTGCTCCTCTCTGCCAATGCAACCGACTGAAGGCGCAGCCAAAGAGCCAGAGGCGACCACTGCTTGGAAAGACACTTCCCTGGCTTGGCATTTCGGGGGCTTTTGGTTGCCATCCAAAGAGGATTAGTAGGATAATACGATGGGACAACAGAAACTTGCTTTTGTTGTCTTTGATTGTTTAATAAAGAATTATGTGTTTGCTCTCGTCGAATACTTTTTAAATGCCGTAGAAAGCAAATGTTGTTCCATGTGAACACATATCCCTCTGGTTTTTCGGGAGCTTGTGTGAAGTGGGCCTTTGGATAAGGGAAGAGGGAGACTGATTTTGAGCATATATGCCAGTGTATATTTGTATATGTTCAAAATATGCAGCTTAATTCTGTACCCTCACATTTTTTATGGGATTAATTCCTTAGAAGGTAAAGAAATTGTACCATCCCAAAGTAACCCTGGATTTGCTTCCAGTCTGTCTGACATTTCCTTTCCAAACCTCTCTGAGCAAGGAAATAAGGAGGTTTTGTTTTCATACCCTCTGAAGTTACAGGTTTGGCTTAAACCAGGGTTAGATTTACTTAGAGAAGCAGTGAGATATCAGTCGAGTGTGGCAGGATTTCAGGGCAGCTTTTCTTTAAACACCTCACCTGGATTTCTGTCCTGCTCTTCAGCTGGGGAGGTGTTTATTGCTCTTGCGGCAAGAACAGAAATACATGAACCTGTATCTCCAGTGCTTTGTTCTGGAAAGCTGAAAGCTGGCTTTGGATACTGTAGGAAGAAGAAACAGTCAGAGTAGGAACAGTTTTTGGGGGATCTGGATGGGGAAGAGGTGGCTCGTGGCCAGGTGAGTGGTCCTCTAGTTCACAAGAACCTGCTGCAGTATGTAAAGGACTTGTATTTTAGAACATCAAAGGTAATTTTAAAGGCTGTTTTACTTGTTAGCAGGTTATATTGACAGAATTAAATCTGATTAGCTCCCACAATGGTGATTTTGTTTCAAGACTTTCTTGTTGAATTTAAGCAATGAATGCAACACCTTTTCTTCCTCAGTAACTATTACCTTAAGTGAAAAACTGTGGGGCACTCAGCTTTCCTTGGACTAACAGTTTTCCATATGCTTGAAGGGTACTGTGAGTGTAATGGTACTGGAATTGTTATTTTTCCATTAAGTAATGAGTGATGTTGGTTGGGTTGCCCTGTGAGTGTGGGTTGCACAGGGCAGCAGCATTCCCTTGGTTTTTTTGGACAAGGAGAAGCCCTGCCCTGACACCAGGACAACTTTCTGACAGCTTCATCTGTCCAGATTAGGATGTTGAATCTTCAGGGACTTTTGTGGATCATGGAATTCCAGAATGGTTTGGGTTAAAGCCCATCCAGTTCCACCCCCTGCCATGGGCAGGGACATTTTCCGCTATCCCAGGTTGCTCCAAGCCCCGTCCAACCTGGCCTTGGACACTTCCAGGGATGGGGCAGCCACAATCATGTACAACTTTAGAGTTCACACCAAATCTTTGAACTCTTTTTTCAAGAGGAGGAAGCAGCTTTTAGAAAAGTTTTTATTTTAACTTGGAAAGAAATCAAGCAATAATAAGCAAAAAGACTGAGAATTAAATCTTTCTCATTCTCTGTAGCTTTTATTCCAAAATAGCAAAGTGTAACTGAAATTCTAGTATATTAAAGTATTTTGGGGTATGAAACATCCATATAACTCTTCCCTTCTTTCCTCCCTGCAGTGAAATTATTTGTAGTACATAAATTCTTTGTTCTCTTGAAGCAGTAGTTTTTGGAAGGTGAAAATATAGATGAGTGAGTAATCAAGATACTAACAGGAGTGGGTTGTTAGATTGTTCTGATTGCATGGATCCTGTGTTTCATTCTCAGTCCTTAAATCTTTCTTTGCCTTAAAACACTAACAAATAGCTTTTTCCTCCAAGACTGGCTGCCTGAGGTTGGAATATTACCCTCCACCCTCCTGTATATGTTCACAAATACATTACCTTCACTATTAATGTCTTTCCTATATTCTTAACATACAATGGATTGTTTCCTTTTAAATAAACAGGCAGAAACCAGTAAAACAAATACAGGAAGGTTTAAGCTATTAAGGAGATGGAGAAAGAACTATAACTCCATGAAAATCTTGGATGGGTGGCCGACTGATGTGTGCCAGCCCAGGGACCATGGGCAGCCTCACTGGTCACCTCTGCAGCCCTGGGTGGGGTGGGAGAAGCTTTTTGCAACTCAAACATATTTTAAACAGTGTTTTTATAATGGTCCCTGGTTGATTTGTGCCTTGACAGCTACCAGTGATGTTATTTGATAAGGATTTTGTTATGAGAAGGTTGTAGAACTTAGTGCATCAGGAAGGATGACTGAAATGAAGTAGGAAATTGCCCAAACCTGAGAAGATTTTCTCTTAAATTTAAATCTGATACTTCAAGCTTTCATTGAATCTTAATTCCAAACTTGAATCAATAACAAGCAGATTTGAGAACATGGTGATACTCAAAAGAAGGACATTTAAGAGAGTTCAGGAGTAGTATTTCTTTCCTGTAACTAAGATGAAGCAGGAGCTTCCCTGGCATTTATTGATCATCCTTTCAAACTCCACAAATTCCTGGTATAGCTTTTTGGCAAGTCACTGATATGATATGGCATCATCAAAGCAGGGGCTTGAGAATCATAGCTCATGTGCCACTTTGCCAATGCAAATGTCAGGACACTGAAGTGATGAGTTTTTAGATGAATTTATGCAGAATGGGAAGGAAATGAAGAAGTTGGCCCTTGTCACACCTCTGGTGGGGTGGGTATCAACACCTCTAAGGGAACTACCTGCAGGCAGTGATATTTTTGGATAAACACATCCAGAATGCCAGCTTTAAGGACTAAGAATCCCTGTGATTGGTGCTGTTTGGGGTCCTCTAACAATTAATTTTTTGAAGCCAGTATGTGGTTATATCCTGGCCTGGCATTGAAGCAAGGTTGCATGAGAAACCTGCTAAAGCATCTGGGTGGGTCCTTAATTTTTAAATAACAGTGATATGGTGTGGTAGGATTATATTGTTAAAGCAGAGTAAAGGAAATGGAAAAGCCTGTAGAGGGGAGATCCATCAGAAATAGGGTTCTGGCTCCTCCCTGATGGGAAGGACACAGTGTTCCATAATACTGAAGGGAAAAATGTATGAAAAAGTGACATGTGTGGTCTCTCTGACCAGAGCCTTCAGACAAACCTGGTTTTAAGACAAATTTTGATATCCTGAGGGCTGAATGCTTGTGGGTGCCAACACATCCACGGGCATATACATTTTGCGAGTGGAAACCTGTCTGGGATTTTAACACTGTACACATTGAGGGGGGGGACACAGAAGTTGGAAAGATATTTTGCCTTCTTTCACCCCTTCATTTCAGTAGAATCAGAATCAATATGGTTGGAAAAGTCCTCTAAGATCACCAAGTCCAACCATCAGTCAGCACCACCAAGCATGGCCCCAAGTACCACATGCACACATCTTCTGAACACTGCCAGGGATGGGGACTCCACCACTTCCCTGGGCAGCCTGTTCCAATGCTTTACAACCCTTTCTGTGAAGCAATTTTTCCTAGTATCCAATTAAAGTAGTGAAATGAGTATCTAGACAGAGGAGTTTGCGTTGTACATCCATACAGTGACCTTCATCCTGGAGGCTCCCAACCCAGTTGTATATGGATGTGCATATATGTCATGCAGCTTCATTCCTATATAAAAATAAACATTTAAATATTGCTGTCCAATGGATATGATAAACAAGACTGAAAATATGAGTTGTGGTCACTCAAGGGTTCATCTATAAAACTTAGTTCAACTTGGTGAGAAGGCATAGGATTATTTATGGTTTTCTGTTGCTTGCTGCATGCTGCTTTTTTGTGTGATGGAAAAGCTTTCCTCTGATCCTAAAATTGTTATACTCATGGAGCACGTGGTATGAGGTTCAGTGCATCTAGTTCAGGGCTGTCACACCAATAAACATGAAGAATGTATGCTGGTTTTCCACATATGTTAACTTTTACTGCTTGTTTACTGACTTCTACAAGGAGGTGCTGCTCCAAAAAGTTCACCCACATCCTCAAGGAGGAACAAGGAAGAAGTTGGTTGAAAAGGAGAGTTACTTTGCAACACCACCAAACATTTGATTATTTAGCAAAAAGCTGATTTGGATCGCAGTCACAGTAAAGAAACCACAGGGAACCTGCAGTTCCTAAAGCAGGACTTCTTCAAACTGAGTAAATTTGTACTGTTTGCTGCATGTCTGTAACTGAGGAATTGCATAAGAGCTTCCCCAAAATCAGAGGTTTAAGTTTACTCTCGCCCTAGTAGACAAAGCTGTCTACTTGATGTTTTTTCTGCTCTCCCCACACTGATTATATTGTTCACAGATGTGACTTCATTCCACAGAACTTAATAATGAGATTTTAAATTATTCTCTTGTTTTGAAAACAACTAATTATTGTCCAGCTGTGAGCAGTGGGCAGCTGTAAGTCATCATGCATAGACTTTCCTGCCTCCTGGTGCACCCCAAGTATGTCATTCCTAGAATCCCAGAATGGTTTGAGTTGGAAGGGACCTTAAAGCTCATCTCATTCCACCCCTTGCCATGTGCAGGGACACCTTCCACTAGATCAGGTTGCTCCAAGTGCTCTCCAGCCTGGCCTTGGACACTTCCAGAGATGGGACAGCCACTACTTCTCTGGGAACTTCATGCAGTTCAACAGGCCAAGCACAAGGTCCTGCACCTGGGCCTGGAGTGATAGGACAAGAGGGAATGCCTTCCCACTGCCAGAGGGCAGGGATACATGGGATATTGGGAAGGAATTCTTGGCTGTGAGGGTGGGGAGGCCCCGGCACAGGTTGCCTAGAAAAGCTGTGGCTACCCCATCCCTGGAAGTGTCCAAGGCCAGGTTGGACGGGGTTTGGAGCAACCTGGGGTAGTGGAAGGTGTGGCAATAGATGGTCTTTAAGGTGCCTTCAAACCCAAACTGTTCTTTGAGTCTGTTATTCTGTGTTTGTTAATCAAGCTGCCCTACGGTTGTTCACTTTTTGTCCAGTTTCACATGGATTCAGCTCTTTGGAGCAAAGGGATTTTTCCCTGGCTGCCCAGCACCGATGGCGATGGGTCCGGCCCGACAGTTCAGAGTCTGGGTGACTGCACTGGACATACTTGTGGTGTCCTGTCCTGTCCTCCTGCAGTGGTTGTACAAACCAAACTGTAAATACAACTCAAACATTTACTGACTCAGACTGGGGTGGTTTTTTTTAGGCAAGATGAATTTGACAAGTATGTTATTGTTGGTCTTGTCCAATTTGAGAAATACTTGGCAGCTGTTTCCAACTACATCCTATCAGTAATCGTAAAACCAGACTGGTAACAATGGGAATAAAAAAATGTTTCTTCTGTTAAGGAATGATTGATTTTTTTCATATATTTTTCCAGCAGACATATTCTATTTGTGTTCCAGCTGTTATTTGCATAACACTGCTGCTCTAAACCACCGAATATACTTTGTTGTCACAATAATCCTGTTTTAAATAAGTGTCAGAACACATCAGATTTCAACCATGATAAACCAGCCATGAAACTGCTGCTGTTTCAGATTTTTGCGAAGATCACTGTTCTACTAGTTAACATGTTTTTTGAGACTTTAATTTAGATTGTGACTTCTTAGGATGGATGAGTTTAAGTTGGAGTTTTGAAAGTAAAGCCATATTTGAGAAAACTTGAAATTCACTGTTTTCTTGCTTTTTTAAAATTACTTTTGAAAACTACTCAGTACCTTGAGATATCTGTTCCTTGGTGAACATACATGCAATTAAAGAGGATTTTGTCTTCTCGAACAGGTGAATTCCAAAGTTGGAGATTCTCTGTGCAAGGAGAAACACGCGGTTCTGCTCAGCCCCGTGGGAAAGATCGAGATCTCTGGGTGTGAAACGGGTTTACATGAAATAAAACTTCCCAAAACGAGCGTGCTGCCAAGTGGGTGAGTTCATGTCCTATTGATCCTGTGTTTATGTATTTGTAGAGGAATGAGATTGCCCAGAGAATCTAAGACACAACTCTGCACGCTTGGTTTTACCACTCGTTCTAGGAGCTCCGTACTGGCTCCTGTGAGAGGCAGAAGGAACTTCCAGTGCCTTTAAGGAATTGTGGCTCCAAAATACATTCATTTCTCTGCTGCATCAAAAATATTATTAAGGAAACATTCTAAATTTTAAGTATTTTTAATGTAGGTTTTGAGAGAACATCCTACCCCCCTAATTTTTGACACACGTGTAGATCTGTCACTGGGGAGTAAAACCTCCTTGCAGACTTCACAAATTTTGCAGATAAAATGTATCTTTTTTTATATATATTATATATATATATATGTTCCAGCATGTAGAACCAGGAGGGAATGATTGTTTTAATTACTGTGTAGTTCTTGTGAGAGCTTTAGTTGACTTTTCAGAACTGCTATGCCTTTTGAGTTCCAAACAGATGCTACATGGCAGTGGAGGTGATGTCTCAAATCTAGGCCTGGTTGAGGAGGCACTGGTGCATTTTACTGTTTAATGTAAGTGCTGTTCAATCTGCTGGAGTCCATCTGTCCTGGTCAGGTCCTTGCTTTTTCCTTATTTGGAGGAAATGCTCAGTGGCATTTTTAGAAGGAACATTGAATTCTTTCAGAATAAGATGCCAAAAAAAACCCCAGATTCCAAATTTCTATGCCAAATTCCTCTGCCAAAATCAAAGTTATCAGTACTACTTCTTTAAGTCTGCTCTCTTCAACTGTTTTTTGGTAATAAATTTGCAGTTTTGCCACAGTCTATTACATTAATGTTTTCTCTTACTGACAAGGCTCAAACAGGTTTGGTTTCCTTCTCTCAATATTGTCTTTTTTTTCTCTCCTGCTTTTGGTTCTAAAATCCCCCATTGATTTGTATGGTGTTCCTTCTTCTGTTTTTCTGTTTTATTCTCCTTGTAACTGAAGAGTGTATAAAATTAATTAGGAATATAAAGCATAATGAGTGTTCTGGTTGAAGTATGTTTTTGCATGTGATACAAAAACCCTCAAGCCTCTGGATTTGAAAGTTTTACCAACTCCAGTGCTATGGAAAGAAGGGCTTCAGTTTCTTCAGATGCTGATTTCAGTGCTGGATTTCTGCTGGTGAGGAATAGAAATAAAATGTATTTAAGATAAGACTTAGACCTGCCTTTGCTGCAGAGCTGGAGAACAGCCAAGCAGATGAGGATCTTCACCCTCGAGAAGGGGAAGCATCAATGAGTGGTGGAAAAACAGTAGAAAAAAGGTCTGTGGGATTTCTTAGGGATGGATGCTCTCTTTATTTATCAGAACATCTGCTGTTTGCTCACCTGTAACGTGGCCATGTTGGTTGGTTGAAGGTTCTCATGATTTTGTTCTTCAAGCAGAAGTTGAACAGTCTGGATCCTACTCCTAATTTTTTAATTTTTATCTGTTCTTGATCTTCAGTTTTCTCAGTGGTGAGCTGACTTAATTTTGATGCATTAGTGGCATCTTGATAACAATATCACAGGTTGCATGATTTAGATGCAAAATTTGTCATATTAGAGGGACTGTTATTCAAGAGTAACTCAGAAGTTAAAGGCAAGAAAAATATTTTTGCGATTACTTTAAGAATTTAAATCTGAAAAAGAAAGGTGGGACTTCCTTTTGTCTTTAGCACTGATAAAGTTCTAAAAATTTTAAAGCCATCTGTAAATGTTTGTGCTGAAGTATAACATTTAATCTCTTCTACTCATCGCTAGTGCATAGTTGTTAAATCTGGCCTCATTATTTTCGACAGAATAAAATAAAAACGAAGCAGTTGCCTGGTGTTTCTCCTAACTGGCTAATAAACACCATGGTAAGAACATTGGGTGGGGGGAAAAAAAAACATAAGAAACATAAAAATTGATTTTAATGGACCCCTGTCAGAGAGAACCATAATGAGCACGAGTCTGGTAATAAATATTGGTATTCTGCTCCACGGTGCTTGGGACTTCTCGTGTGGAATTGCATGTAACAATCAATATAGATTTTAGGGGGTTTTAACAACAAAAATAAGTAAACCTTTGAAATATATAAATACTTAAGACTTGCAATCTGTCAGACAAACCTGGTAGTTGTAGAAAAGGCTGATAAGAGCGTCTGGTTAATGGCATAATCGCTTTGTGGAGATCTCAGCTCTATTTTACAGCTTGTAAAATGCTGGGCAATTAATCACCTGAGATTACAACCTATTCAGTGATGGCTCTCCTTAAAACTTAAGAACACAGACTATAATGGAGCCTAAAAGGAGAAGCAACAAAGTAAAATCCAGTTTCACTATGCTTGAAAGAAATTGATCTATTAATGAGATGAAACTAATTGTAATAACCTGAGGTTATTCTGCTCCTTGGGAAGTTGGCAGGCTTTAAAAGTCCAGACACGTCACAATGTGATGGTTTCTGTTTGGAGAGGAGGAATCTTTATCATTTAGGCTTTTTAAATCCATGTTTTGGCTGCCCCACCCCTGGAAGTGTCCAAGGCTGGGTTGGGTGGGGCTTGGAGCAACCTGGGCTAGTGGAAGGTGTCCTGCCCGTGGCAGGGGGTGGAATGAGATGGGCTTTAAGGTCCCTTCCAACCCAAACTATCCTGTGATTCTATGTATATATGTACATACAGTCTCACATATCTAAATGTGAGATTTCAGTTAAATATGATTGTGGAATTTTTAATTTACTGGATGCTGAAATTGTTTCTAACCATTTTGTAGTGCTAGTAACTGGTTAACTTAAAACAGGGACCTGAAATCACTCATTTCTGCTTTAGTATTGAAATTATGGATTGACTTGTTTGTTTTGTCATTTTCAATTAATAAAACACTGAAGATAGAGCTGGACTAGCTTTAGAATAACCAAATTCCTTGTGTTTGATACCTGTGTGTTGTATGACAGAGAATGCAGGAGTTTTAGCCTACATACAGCACCATGAGGAAATTCATGTGTTGGGCTCAAGGTCTGTGCAATCATTTTAGGGCTGTTTCTGAAATGTGCTGCTTCAGGGTTATAAAGTGGGGCAGAAAATACACCAGACATGAAGCTTGATTTTATAAATGTTTCTGTTTCTAAGAATTTCATCTTCACAGTTTATATTAAAAAAAAAAAAAACAAACTAAAAGGACATATAACCTATATGTGTGTTTATATGTATATCTATATTAGAATCTCAGAATCACAGAGTATTGTGGGCTGGAAGGGACCCACAAGTCCAACTCTTAAGTGAATATGTGTGTATGTGTGTGTATATGTATGTATACACTTAGCTGTTGAAGTTTTTCTTTCAGTGTATACAAATCTAAGGATTAGTTTTGATCAAGTTTCATCCAGTTTTCCTGCCTGAAATATTGCAAATGTTTAACTCTTTTTGTTCATGGCCCAAAGAATAACTCAATTTTTTCACTGTTTTACTCCTGAGTGTCTTCAGCAGCTTTGGAGTTTCAGAATTATTTTTTTGTTATTCCACTGTCAGCTCTGGTGTTCCCACACTGGGATGACTCTGTTTTCAGAAGTCTTGTCTTATTGCTGAGCTGGAGGAGTAAATGATACTCTTGGTGAGCAGAGGATCCCACTCGTGACTTCCTTGAGCAATAACACAAACCACTTGTTTTCCTCTGCTGAATATTTACAGCACAAGATACTCTGGAAAAATGTTCATGTTGACTTGGCAGTTGAGATGGCACCAGGAGGTAGATTCTCCCTGTGTTGCAAAATTCCGAATTCTTTCAGGAATTCCCTCTCCCCTCAGGAAAACTGCCCTGGTTTTCCCAGCTCCCTGCCTGGTCAGCATGAGGCAAGGGTTATCTGGGCTGCACATGTGCCAGGGCAGGGAAATACAGTGGGAACTGGAGGACAGTAGTAAAAGGGCTGTTGTCTGACATGTTTTGAGGTAAACTAAGCAGCTTCCAGTGTCTGGTTGGAAAATCTTTCCCTGCTGAGCATGGAGTGATGAACACCGTCATACTCCTGTGGACTGATGAGTCTGTGTGTGAAAAGAAAGTTAAATTTGCCACCTGAAGAGTGGGCACAGATCCCAGGAGATGCCAGTAATGCTAATATTTACATCCACCTTGGGATTTGAGGAGGCCATTATGAGAAGTTGAGATTTTCCACTTAAAAGCTCAGCTGAGCTGCTGTGATCTGTCGCTGCCATCTTTGGTTGGGGCATCCCAAGGTGTGGATGATTTCGGGACAGCCGTCTCCTTGGCTCTGGGCTCCTGCTCCTCCACTCTGGGACTGCTGTGGTGTACAGACAAGTTAATCTTGCCAGAAGATCCTGAGCTCCCATCCAGGAGACAGCATGTGCAGGTGGTCTGCTCCTCCTCCACGGACTTTGGGAATTGTGTGTTTGTTGGTAGGGATGTGAGCTTGAATTTGAGAAACTGCAGCTGTTGGATGCTTCCTGCATGTTTGAGGAGGGAAATGGGAAATTGGGCAGGTTGACTTGCTTTGCTATTGCTTGAATGGTCAAAACATGTATTTTCATGGTGGTTATCACAGAATGTCCCATTTTCCTTGTGGTGTAGGAATACCTCAGATTTCCCTTTTATGCTTTTTTCAGAAGAGACTCTTGAAAGCAGTGGGATCCCATCTGCCCTCTGTATTTCTTGCAGGTTATTTGCCATTTTCTTTACAGCATTTCATTTCCCTACATCTTACTGAAAGAGATCAGAGGAGGAGGAACAAGGAGCCAGTTTGGCCGTTCTTGTATTATTAATCTGCCTAAACCTTTAAGGGCGAATCTGCAGTTCAAGAGGTTCGCCAGGGTTTCAGTCAATCTCTGCCAGTGTAACATTATCAGAAACTCTCCAGAATCTCAGCTTAAAGAGGTTTCCAGCTATTACAGATTCAAAGAAAATCTCAAGTGTGTGGAAAGGCAGCGGATGCAGTGGCGTCCGGGCTCTGATAAGAGCCTAGAACAATAACTTGCAGAGGTGTGAA